CGCCACTTTCACCGAGGCATTTTGCAGCGGGTTTACAAGTAAGTCCTCAGGGAATCATACTAATTGCTCCTATCGCTCTGACATGCGTCTTAGATATCTGGTTTCAATGGTGGGTAGAAGCCAACGAAAAACGGCCAAATGACAACCTCGGCATGTATCTTGGGGTTTATGCCCTTCTATTCGCGATGGCATGCATTGGACTTTCCGTGGAATGCTGGTAAGACCTTGAGAGACCTTGATTTCTAAGGCTCAGTGCCGCTGACCATTGCTGGCAGGCTCCTCTTCATACGGATCATCAGCGCGACAGCCATGAGCCTACATGGTGATTTACTGCACACAAGCTTAAGGTAACGCGAGAACCGACCCCAATTTGCTATCGCATGTGCTAACACTATCTAAGAGCACCTCTTAGCTTTTTTCAGTCCAATGATACAGGTTCAATCACCAACAGGTATGTGTGCCTTATAGCGACGTTTTACTTTGTAGCTAAGCGTGAGTTTGACCTCTTCATAATCTAGATTCAGCCAGGATCTTAATCTGGTTGATGTGACTCTTCCATCCAATGCCATTAACTTTGCCTCGAGTAAGTTTCCTCTCTTCAACACCTTTCTAGCTACTCTTTTGCTGAGCTAACTCTTTCAAAGATGCTTGCGCTTGCATCGTGAAGCTCATAATACTATGTGTCATGGGCAAGTACTTGGCGACATCCGTGCCTCTTCTAGTAGGTGTGCTCTTCTTCGTTCAACGATACTATCTCCGCACCTCTCGCCAGGTCCGTCTCCTCGACATCGAAGCCAAGGCTCCAATCTACACCCACTTTCTTGAAACACTCAAGGGTGTTGCCACTATTCGTGCCTATCAATGGGAAGAGAACTTTGAGGAGCAGGCGACAAAACTCCTGAATACGTCACAGAAACCCCACTACATGCTAGCCTGTATACAACAATGGCTCGCGCTCGTTTTGGATCTCATTGTCGGGGCTCTGGCTCTCATCATAGTCAGCATGGCAACTTCCATTACCGATAAGTTTTCTCCTGGAGCAATTGGTGTTTCCATGGTCTTGGTCCTGGGGTTCAACAATTCTCTTGCGACAACAATCAAGAACTGGACTGCTCTGGAAACTTCAATCGGTGCTGTGGCCAGAATAAGAGAGTTTGCACAGACAACGCCTTCCGAGGAGCGTGAGCTGGGAAGCTCCGGTGTCCCTCCTGAAAGGTGGCCAATGCAAGGTCGCATCGCCTTTGAGAGCGTCACTGCGAGATACACAAAAGACGGAGATGCAACTCTGAAGAACTTGTCACTTTCAATATCATCCGGCCAGAAGATTGCAGTCTGCGGACCATCAGGCAGCGGCAAGACCTCCTTTGTTCTCTCACTTCTTCAGATGATTGAAGTTACCGAAGGAAAGATTTCTATCGACGGCATTGATCTCGAAGGTCTGGAGAGAGCGGGAGTACGTTCACGAATCAACGTCATACCTCAGGAGCCATTCTTCATCCCGGGCAGCGTCCGGTTCAACTTAGATCCACACTCCCGCGAAAGTAGTGAGACGATCAAAACAGCGCTCGATAAAGTTGGCCTCCTGGGCAAGATCGCTATGGCAGGTGGTCTGGACAGCGAACTAGATGCCGATGGGTTCTCTGTAGGGGAAAAACAACTTCTAGCTTTGACGCGCGCCCTCGTTGAAAGGAGCCAAATTTTGATCTTGGATGAAGCTACAAGCAGGTATAGATTTTCCCCCAACACTCGCATACCATCCATCAACTAACATTGGTTCAGCGTCGACCAAGACACGGAAGACAAGATGCAGCGAATTATCGAGGAAGAGTTCTTAGAGCAGACTGTAATCTCTGTCATACACCGTCTGAGATTCATCGAAAAGTATGACCGGGTACTCCTCTTGAAACAGGGAGAGGTCGTGGAGTGGGATTCCCCCGATACCTTGCTCGCGACTGATTCCGAGTTCAAGAAGCTATTAACAGCTACGCAAACTCTGCATTGAGAAACAAGTAATAGAATAGGGGCATCGTAGAGATACTAGGCAATTTCAGAAGTTGGTTCAGGGGGGCAATCTGCAGTGGACTTGAAATTCCACCTATGTTAACCTTGACTTAGCGGTACAATCTGAGGTACTACCAAGACGAGCGGCAGGAAGGCAACAGCCGGCTGATCCATGCTCCGTCCCGTAATGGTCGGATAAGTTGCGGGTCAACATGGTGCGGGGTACGTCGGTGGTTGATGACGGTGCTTAGGACCAGCGACGGAAAGTTGAATGTTCAGGGACAAATCATACATGGCGAAAGACACTTAGAACTCTCAATTACTATCAAGCAACGAAATCCAATCTACTCGTGAGCAAATCCAAGTCTTCATAGAAACCCCCCTGGACATGGCACGGAAGATTCGATTAGGAATTATCACACCTTCTTCTACTACTAGCCTTGAACCTCTCACACAAGCCATCATCTCCGGGCTTCCGGATGTCACAGTTCACTTTTCTCGTTTTCGAGTCCTGAAGATCAGCCTAGATGACGATGGGCTTGACCAGTTTCAGACCGACAACTTGATCTCAGCCGCGCAGCTTTTGGCCGATGCTGAGGTTGACATGATCGGTTGGAGTGGTACTTCGTCGGGTTGGCTGGGGTTTGAAGCCGATAAAAATTTGTGTGCAGATATCACTGCGGCAACAGGAATTCCCGCGACGACTTCTGTTCTCGCGCTGAACAAGGCCTTGCAAAAGTTTGACGTCAAAGATCTTGGCTTGGTCACTCCTTACACAGATGATGTCCAGGAAGCCATCATTCGGAACTATTCACGTGTCGGAGTGAGTTGCCAGAAAGAACGACATCTAGACCTTACGATGAACTCGTCTTTTGGTCGCGTCGACGAAACTACGTTAGACGGTCTCGTGAGCGCTGTGGCGGCTCAAAGACCAGAAGCAATGGCAATATTCTGCACAAATCTGAGAGCAGCTCAGAGGGTGGCTTTTTGGGAGGATAGGCATGACATCCTCATACTTGATACCGTTATCACAGTCATTTGGGATATGTTGCAAGAATCCAAGGTTGACATGAAACCCTTGGGTGATTGGGGAAAATTGTTCTCAAAGTAGTAAAGACCAGTGACTGTTGGTACATGCAGGTATAATTTACATAGGGTTGAGAAATATTTCTAAGGAGCTGTGTAAAGACCTGGCCTTCGCGGCACAACACACGCTTCGTTTGACATCCAGTCGTGTCATCATAGTCCGAATGGAAGATTGATCGGAAGTCCTCCGCCAAAGGGAATATTGACGGGAAGTCTACCGCCGTTGTTATTTCGGCCACCAAAGGGGAAGCCTCCGCCGACAAAGGGAGTATTGTCGAAGTTGACCGTGTTTGGCCCACGTGAGTGGGATGTCCATGACCAGGAGCGACTTCCGTCGCCACCAATATCGATGTTGACGTGCACTCTTCTTCGCGATCCGTCTTCATTTCTGTCATCATCTTGCTCGTTTCTTTGCTGATCTTGTCGTGAATTTTGGCGCCTCTGCTCTGGTCTGGAATTCTGTCGCTGCCGGCTATTGCGTGTTCTTTGAGGCTCTGGCCTCGGCTCAGGTCGCCGTGGTACCTCTTCATCAAAGGAATTATTTTCTTCATCATCTTCTGGCTGCTCATATCGGCGGCGTTGCTGCTGCTGCTGTTGCCTCGGCGGTGGAGGAAGTGGCGGCTCTCTGGGTGTTTTTATATCACCGTACATTCCGTAGATGCTGTCCTCCCAGTTCTTATTTGGTTCGGGCTTCTTTTGTTCCCGGCGTGACGGGGGTGACCGAGAAAGCTTCGGAGGTTCTGTGGTCTCCTGACTGTAGCGCGAGCTCTCATCAGTTCTGCCCGTACTATATCTGGCGCTGCTCCGATCAAAGTTGTTGCTGTATGAGCTCGTATATGGTTGGCTCTGCTGCGAACCTGGTGGCGTTTGGCGGACCAGGGCAGTGGAAGGCGGGAATGGAGATTGTCCGGGGCGAGGATTACTGGAGTTGCCCATACTCCCATTGGAGCCTGTTTTGTTGCTCATTTTCTTTTGTTTTACAAGGATAATCAGCTGTCGACTCTATTGATTGCAAGCAAGAGTATTATCTATCCTGTAGACTTTGGACTTTGCAATCGGAATTTATCAACTTAGACTACGGTATGTTATATCTTTTGCAGCTCTATGCAAAGCCACGCCCAGGCAATGATCTGGTTGACAGTGGCGCCATAATCCTCCGACTCAAGATTTATGCGTTTCATGATGTCTTATGGGGCTGGCGAGAACTTGCGTTTCCTTATGGATGGGTCGAGACCTTACGATGTTTGTGACTGAACGCGTTTGAGATTCTCCCTGATGATTCGGATCAGCGAAACATCAGACCATGACTTTTCCAATTTATCGTGGCCTTGCATCAGAAAACATGGCTCAATCAGTTTTCCAGAAGTCTTCGATCTGCGCATTGTTGGCGAACTGATTTCCCCTGATGATCTGTTGTCATTATTCAGTGTGAGGTGGTTGGAACAAGGTTCGATCCCTGAACCAGGGGTCATCTCCGTCCGATGCTCCCTAAGGTCCATCCCATCATCGACCCATTGTAGGGCCCACCCTTTATGTAGGCGCCGAGAGTTGGACGCTCTAACCTTCGATACCTCTTGGCTTTGGAAAGGTGTCTGGTAATTTGATCAAGATCATGTGCAATCCTCATGACGACTTCAGGTTCTAATCCTCCTAGCGAAAAAGATTTTATTGCCGGATGTAATGATTGAAACATAATGAATGACAGGCAAAGCGCTCTTTTCCACCCCCGGCTACAAACCCCCTTCGCCAACTGGCGACCAGCATCGGGTTCGAACCCGAATAACTTTCCAGCTGAACAGACACAGAGGTAGCAATTGTCGAGACACCGGGCTGCTGTAGAGCTTTTCTATGAACCCCAATGTGAGTGAAGTCGCCGACACAATGTTTGAGGTTCATCAGAGCTGGGTCGTCATTTATTTCCACCACATGACGAAGGAGTTGTCAAACTGGAATCTTTCACCGGGCTTGATGGCCAGGCTGTAGATCTCATCCCAGCTAATCCTCCAGGGGGAGCGCTCCACCCCGGTAGAGACATCCTCAAATCCGGCGAAGATGAAGTTAGGGGCTTGGTAGTATCAGCTGACTGTGGATCCATTTTGGTAACTGAGCACTAACCGTTGGGGAAGGCGGCATCGAACTGCAAGAACAGTGTATGGATGTCGTTGAACCAAGCGGTCACAGCGACGTTGACTCCATTAATGACGAGGCCGGTGACGATTCTCTTGTAGTAGCCGTTACCAGCCTTGAAGATGCCACTCTGGTGGTCGTGAGGCCAGACTATGATGTGTTAACGGCCCTTTTCTTGGCTGAAAACGAGCGGGCTGACATACCACGACGCTCGAGCGAGTTTTCAACATCATCAGAAGCTCTGGCTACGACAGCTTTTCGATGTCAGCTTTGTATAAGCGCTGGAATCTCAAGGCTCTTTTACCGTCAGCGATGTTGACATCGCGAGTCTCGTGAGCCTGGAGGAAGCCGAGGTCAACGATGGTCCTGCCTACATCATTCATTAGATCTCGATTATCGAATTTTGCAGGTAAAGCTCACTTTCAGGCTCCCTGTCGAGGTTTGCCTCGTTCACGTCAGGAACAGGAGTGGCTGAGGCAACAGCCAGCAGGAGAGCGATGGTAGCAGCGGCGAAACGCATGGTGAGCTTGTAGATCTAAGCTAGATGAAGCGAGTGGAAGTTGATGAGATAATGTTTGAAAGTGAATGTAATGATGTGCTTTTGAATGCATAGCTGTTTCGTGGCGAGCTGAAGCCTACCTTTTATAAAAAATTGCAATGGAAGAGTGTTATGGCAGTCACTGTGCTTGAAAATAGCTGCATCTTTGCAAATGCTCCGTCTAGAGCTGACGATTACTGAATTCGTGTATTGCCTTTCGACTCACCATTGAGCCAATAACTTTCACAAGCTTTCCTAAGAAAGTGTAAAAGTTGCTAAGCTTTTGGTCGGTCCGGGCACAATCAAAAGTTGCAAGCATCATGTTTGAGACCTGGTGGGTATTGGCTATGCAATAGTTGAAGTTGCGCGAGTCAGCAAAGTATGAGTTCAATGTTGTATTTGTGCTCCAAGATTTGCTCCATGATTTCTAGCTTTTGGGGAGTGGACTTACCGATAAACGCGGTTGTTTGCTGACTGCAAGGTCCGCACTAGTTGAACGTCACGCAATGTTTAAGTTTCCTAGACAGGGCACTCAATTGTGCGAATCCATGCCTTAAGTCGGCCACGAAAGTTCTTTGCTAACTAGGTACTGGAATTAAGTGTCCGGTTCAGTGATCTCACCTAACAATGCCAAAGATAATCTCGGGTCTCCCGGCTGAATTTCTCTAAGTCATCGCTGCCATTACTTCCTTTCTATTGCTTGATATGATCCTGTACGAGGCACCCAGAATTGAAGTTTGCGAAGACAAAAGTGCCCATGACGCTCGCCTCACTTCTCGGAGATTCAGAGTTCGTGTGGATACGAAGCCCTTTTGGCTAGATCGTACATTACGCTAGCACCTTTACGACACCATGCAACTGCAGCACTCAAAAGCTACAGTAGTCAATGACAGATGCGATTGTCTTCTACTGTTGTCTTGAGGCCGGGTTCTCTATATCGATCAATATGGCGGCAGTCGGCATGTCTAGCAATTTACCACCAAGGTCTTTGCCGCGTCTAGTCAGGTCAAGATCCCTTGCGTATCTAAGATCTAGCTTTACCCACCCCTTTATCAAACTTCAAGCTAGGAATACTTGGCCATGTCATTCATCAGCCTTCAATCGCGATGATTTCGGTCTTTTCATAGCATCTGTGCTACTAAGCTATCTCAAGCAATCAATCATCTTATCCGGTCAGTACCGACTAGACAGTTGGTGAGAGACAGTGTCCACACACTTTATGCTTTTCGCAGTCTGCACTTTGGTTTAGTCACTTGCCAAATATGAACTCTATCAAAACGTGCTGACACCATGGCCTGAGCTGTGCTTGCCAACAAACCCATTCTAGTTGGAAATCAAACAGATTAATCCAGGCGCACACGGCGACAAAAGTTCTCGTATACACAGAAGTTCTGTCCATCATGCTCCTGTAGTTTGATTTTCCTGCTGCCAGAAATTGCGATCCATGAAAAGGAAATTTGATCTCAACCCCGGCTATTCAATAGCCGTGATGCGAATGCGAAGTACACACGATCAAAGAGAAGAAAGAAATGCAGACATCAAGATGGTGCGTACTTGAGTATAATAAGAGTAAAAGACCGCCGAGCATTCTCACCACTTCCATTCGTCTCATCATTCAAATCAATACCCAAGTGTCTGTATACCACTTTCGCATCATCTCGATCTCAGGCCTTAGTTCAAAATGAAGGTTGCTGCTGTTCTCGCCTTCGTTTTCCTGTAAGACCGCACTCGCCCTTCACCTATTACAACTCATTGACTGACAACATCTTTAGTGCCCCCAATGCTGTTTCGGCTTGGATGTGCAACTGCCGCAACAGAGAGCAACCCAACATCAAGGTTGCCCTCAAGTTCTGCGGACCTGGCTTGGGTCACACCCGCTGCTGGAACTCGAAGACCAACGTCCAAGCGGTGAGATATCTCAACATGATGCAAGCTTCGCGCAGGTACTGACGTAGTCATAGTGTATCCTGAACAACCCCATCACCCAAGCAGATTGTGACGCAAAGTACGGCGGCAAGGGCGAATGGGTCGCTGAATGTGAGCACTACACTGGTCCCTGCCCTCCCGGCATGACCCAGCAGTGATTCCTCTTCACTGCATCAAATACATGTTTCAGAGCAGCATCAAATTCACTTCATGACTGGTAGAACTTGAACTTCAATACACAAACTGGATTTTCTTAATGGTCTAAATGCCCTTTGATCTTTGTAGAGTAAAAAGTCCAATGTTTCTCACAGCTAGTGGACGTAGCTGTTGCCTATGTTGACCTCGGTGAGAATCTTGAATTACCCTGTATGACCTCTCTAGTAGTCTTAATAGATGGACAAGGATACGCATTAAAGGGCATCTTCAACTGGTGTTTTACTGTGTGCAGACTAGGAAATCCATCAAGAGTCAGCGACGAAAGATTTGCGGGGTTGCATATTGGGCGTGCTACATTAGGAACTTACGCCTTGAAGGGGCCTCTCGAAGGGTTGAAAATGACCGGGAAAATACAGCTAGAAGTTTTCTTTAAAGCTCTCTAGCACTGTCTTCCCTTTCGATTGCAAGACCCAGTCTTCGGAGCGTCTTCTCCAGGACAAAGACACATTGGAGCAATCCACGCGTCCAAGAAACGTAGGACAAAGGCTTTCTTCTGAGACCTCCTTGGTAAGGAAGAACAGTTGAACGTATGGCAAAGATTCAACGGCTCACAACATGTTTGGTCTGACCAGGGATGTCGCCGGCGAGGTGCTTCGGAGCGTTTGGTGCGGCACTTACATCAAATTTGGCTGTCCTTGCAACATGAATGCTTGGGTCAAAGGACGATCTACTCAGTGGTTAAAAGGACGATGAAATTCAGGATCCCTCGTTCACTCAAGAAGTGAAGATAATCGGCAACACCAGACCTCTCTTATGGTTCGACGGTAAGGGGCTCAAGGTAAGGTACTCTACCTACGAAAAGATGCAAGTGCCCTCTTCCTCGTCAAAGTTCCAGGCATACGGAAATGGCGTGGTCTTTAAGCAAATACTTCAAAACGAAGAGGTCGCCGTGTCCTAGCTATTAGACATGATCGTATATTCGCTTTCAAGGTGAACTCCTAAAGGGGCATTCTTTATTCTTGTGCCGGAAGTTTTGCTCCTGAACGATGAAGAATTTACGGCTCGATGTGGTGACTTATTCTCATGAAACTTAAAACACCTACCACTGCTCGGTGTAGGGTCATCGCAAACCACACAAGGTAAATGGGACGCTGTGGTCCCTAACGATACTATCGGGTTGAAGCCAGGCCTGCGATAGGGTCACGAGGACGCTTTCTTTCGTCTATCATGATTCCGCGGAACCCCGCCTGTTTTGGTATCAGTCACTCTAGGTTCGTATCTAAAGAAGATGCTACCTGCTTGGTGGTTATCTCAAACCAGAGAGTCCTACAAAATTGCGGCGTCGGCCACCCTTAGGTCCCAAGACCTGGACCCAAAACTCCGGGGAACTTTGTTGAGCATACCTATCAAGGTAATAAAATACCCTCAAGACGTCCCATATAAATGGCCTTTTCCCCAGATTCAATTCTTTCGGAGATCTCCCTCCACCACACAACGACGGGAAATATCACATTCCACCACACAAGGCTTCCGCATCTGTCGCATCCACATTCACAACCACACCACACCCCACTGGCCTCGATCCACAAAAAGATTTCCTAGAAATTATCAAGATGCGCGTCTCAATGACTTGCCTGGCGACCATCGCTTTACTTTTCGCCACCATCAGCGCTTCCCCAGTGCCCGAGGAGGAGCGCCGCCCATGGAGAGGTGGAATCAACGTAAGTAGACAACACCCTTGCCAAACCCACAGAGTCTCAATGACAAACGACTAATTTGTTATGCTCTCTAGGACGTAAGAAAACTTTCCTAAATTTGCTAACGAATAAGCCGCCGACTGACTGACAAAACGCTTAGTCTGGATGCTTGGTCCCATGCCTCAGACGACTTTTCACGGATTACGCGGCGTGCATGGCTGAATGCACCGGCCCTTGAGATCCTTGCAATGAGGCTGAGAAACGAAGAGATTTCCGTACTTCTTTACTCCGGTAGCCAGAGGTTATGATGCCTTAGCAGGAAGGCATCTGCACAATGAGCATAAACCACGACGGATGCTTCTCGGTCTGAAAGTAGCTGTAGCCTGTCAAATTCAGTCCATCGACAAGGATTCAACAATCGAAGGAAGGTCAGGTGGGATCGACATTCACATATTCTACTATCAGTCTACCAATCTCAGTACAAAGTTTTCAAGTAACTTTTCCCTCGTGCCTATCGCGGACACATCGTGGAGTCGATGCATATACCAAGTTTGCAAAGCTATTTCGCTGAGTCTAGTCGATTGCAGCCTCAAAGAGAGGCGTGTTTCAAGACATTACTTAGCCACATGATCCTGTATGATGATTCAAGAGAAATCAACACATATATCGGACCGCTGACTCTTGTATAACCTAGGAGCAGCCACTGACCTGTTGCCAAATCCAGACTGGCTTCATGTGGCCTAGTTCTGCTAGCTACTTGGGCAGTGTTGGGGATATGATATCATCTACTTTTTAATAATACCACATATTACATGAACGTGTCACTGTGACAAATGAGCAGGTTTTGCGACTCTTCTTCAACTGCCCTCAGCTAAAGTATATATCGAAACATGAACTCAAGACTCTTGAATTTCGGAGAGACGGGCTGGAGTTTCAGAGAGGAAGGCATTAAGCCATTCTTCATCTGTCCCGATATTGATTCTGTCGTGAAACCATGACTCATTCACTTATCGTACTTACCTTGATGAAGTGATCAGACGATATTCCCCTACTAAATCCCCAGCTGCGATTCACCGTCACGCCACCATCGCCACAACACCTTCTTTAACAAAATCGCTCCCAAAATCGAATCTCCGGACCACACATCTCGAATAGCAACTGAAGGAAGTCTTTGCAAACCCTGCAAGACTCGTCAGAATCAAG